GTACATGTCGTCTCCCAATGTCTCGAACTTCAGAGAAGAGAGTGAGAGAGGAGGGAGAAGGGACAAATAGGAGGAGGAGGAGAGTTCCCTCACGAAACAATGAAGCAATATCCGCTCCTCAAACCCACTTCCTCCTCAGACATCTCCCTCTCTAGCCACTTCAACAATGCGGTTCTCCTCTCACAGTCTCTGGCATGCACAATGAGCAGGTTACAATAGTGCGCCCATCCTCCATCCACGTCTGCAACAAAAAGGGAGGATGGCGCAAATCTTCATCACTTGCTTGGAGACCATCAACATATCACACATGACGTCACAATAAGTTCAGGTAAGCTTCCCCTCGTCACATGCATCAACCTCACAGTCCGAATCCTCCTCCTCCTCACCCACACTCCTATCAATGTCGAAATCTACGTGGCTATGGCCACATCAACATAATCTCCCTCAAGGTTGGAGCCTATACTCGAAATTTGACGTCAGCATAAAGCTTCAGCAGCCTTGCACCAGCAATAAGCCAACACAAGGCAGAATGGTCTCCAAGCAGGGGCTGGGTCAACGTATAGTGTGGACTCATGTTGACCAACCTCTGGTGTTTTGGGGTTGACGACCTAGATCAATCAGAAGCCAATGACCTCAATGGTTGTTCGCTTGTTCAATCATTTGAATTTGGGCTTTCTGCCTACTCTCCTTGACTTTGGCAGTATCTTGCTCATATAAAATTGCAAATTCTCTCGTACCTGAGGGTGGTCGTTGGACTTGTTCCCTGGTCGAAGCATCAATAGGGTGTCTAGGCTTCCAACCTTTATGCAGTGCATTGGTTGTCCTACCTGTGATAGTGTGTATGTTGTTATTATATACACGGACACTTTTTTAGAAGTTTTCATCCCAATTAATTTGGTCAGGTATAACGTACATGCGCGAAAGTTGTTGGCACAAACCATTCATCTGCTCAGCTTCTCACGTTTCAGAATATCTACCTGACGACATAGTCAACCTGGTGCCATAAACTTCCATCCACTTTGCCAGTGTTGACCCATGAACTGTACATCCCGATCAAATATGATGGTTTTCGAAAATCCGTATTCAGAAACCCAACGCATCTGATAACTTGTGGATGTCAAGTTTCGTCCTAACTTTAGAGGGTAAAGGAATTAACATCGCATATTTAGAAAGCCTATCGACAATAACCATTGCCTGACTTTCTCATTCCGACTCTTGGGAAGACTCATAAAATCAATAGAGTTTGACTCATACAAAACAAGTTTTTACATAGGTTAGTACATCCTCTTTCATTCTTTGCCGCTAAAAAAACTCACCTACATTAACAAACGTCTTCTTAAAACCAAAGTATCCCTCAACATCGTGACATTCCCCCATAACCAAAATTTTCAATTCTTCCTCACGGGGAATGCAAATTCATTCTTTGATTTTGTCAATGAAGAAAAGCATGTATGCTATCACTCATTTGGTAGTCACGACGTGTAACGAACTGACAATAGCGTCAAACTTCAATCTTTTATCTGAGAATGAACAGAAATCTTGAAAGGTCATAAAAGGTAGCTTATCTTTTGCCAACTTTTTTTTTGTTGGAAAAGACTTGTTGAAAACCCTAGTAGGAAGGGTGATAAGAGCATCCCTACCTACTAAGGTTTTCTGTTCGTCGCTCCATCTATTGGTGGGGAGCTGCACCTGCTGAAAACCGGGTTCAGCGTCCCATTGTGTACACAGCAAAATAATGATCGTACATAGTAGATACTGACTAACTTCTCCCGATTTTTCATTTTTGGCTCCACTAGAAACCGGATCAACTGCAACCTCGTGTCATAGCTCTCCTCAAACTTAGTGAACAACTCTTCAACCTTTTGGAAGATACTATCATCTTTCCTATCCACAATCATGGTTGCCGCGACATCGCCCATAAATCAAGATCTATGAAATAGGGATTTGTCCTTGCCCAGAGACTGCATGAAGCATATCTCGTACTTGGCGCAGAGAATGCATGTCCGGGCAGGCCTGAAGTTCTTGCCCATCCATATCCCTATCCTTTGCTTAAGCACTTTACCTCTACAGACTGTATAGGTGTGATCGAGCTTCAATCTCACCTAACTTCTGATGAGCTCAAAGCCTTGCTGCACCAAAGCCAGACCAGACTCTTCTTGTTGAAGACCGCTCATCTCTACCTTCTACTAACGCTGACTTTGGCGTAGCCTCTCTCCTTCCATTCATTTAGCAGCCAGTCTCAAACTTTTGTTATGCCTTTCTCAGTTGCTCCTTCAACATGGTTGTAGCTCCCATGTTGAAGCGATGAGGTGAACGGAGCCTAGCAAGAAGCACGTTTGTGATACGCAACCTCACGCCCCCTCGCGACTTTCCGTACGGGGTCGCCGATCAGAGTTCTTGGAGGGGCGTGGCCGAGGATTTTTGGCCGTAGGTGTTAAGTCTCCCGGACGGAACGGGAGACTCTCGTTTCGTGCCAGAGGTTACCCCGGAGTCGAAATGTCGTCGCGAAATCCCGTGGGGGTAGGATCGCTCCGAAACGACAAAATCAGAAGGGTTTCCGCAAAAACGAACCGTCGTCGTGCATCAGGACGGGAAAAGGCATCAAGGGGAGAGGGCCATGGCGACGGAAGACAAACTTCGGCCGTGAGGGGTTTCGGGGGATAGGTGGTGGGTTCGAAGCCTTCAGGCCTCGTCCTCGGCCTCACAAAGTTACCAAACCATCGGGTCTTTTGCTATAGAGGTGGTTGGTTCGAGGCCTTCAAGCCTTAGCGTCGGACACACAGAGTCCGCGCGGAAGGTTTCGGGAGGGTAAAGCGGCGGGAGGACTCGACGACATCCGAATTCGAAATTGCGCGGGCAGCGCCCCCGCACTACGGGAAAGCTCGGGGAAACATGTCGCTCCCTCGTAACCCAGGACCATTCGTCGCCAAGAACACGATTCCCCCTGGTGACACCACTGCAGCGACAATCAAACTGCGGCCGCCACGCGGCATGAGCGACCGACGAGGGCAACACGGTCAAACCCGTATAAGGCAATATTAGAGTCGGGGAATCAAAACACTCAATCAAGACAAACCCGTTCCCCCTTATATCACAAGCCCGAGGCGGGTCTCGCCAGCACACTTGCTCCGTTCGCCTCAACGCGCGCCGTACGTCCGCATCGCAGTAGACGCTGTCGTCATCTGTGATGGGGAAGGTCGGTAGCG